CGCCAGTGTTGAAACCACAACTTGACAGCTTTCGGGCGATAAAAAAATGCCAATAAACCAACACATTTCTGACAGCAGTGTCACACCGATGCTATCCGTGAAAAAATGTCTACAACGTACATTGGAAAAAATGCGAAATGGGGAGGAGTGTGTTGGGAAATCGCACGTTGCATTCAGGCTATTAAATTACAGGAAGGTAAAGTCGACTGCAGTTGAAATCTCTCAAGATAACCGCTTTGCGTTAACTAATGAAATGAACGAGGAAGATAAGCGACTGAAAGGTGACAACGAAGGAGCAGAAGAAGACCACGAAGTTGAGGAAGTGGAGCAACACCTCCAGAAAGAAGGTTATATGTGTTTTTTTGTGAGGGCTAACGTTGTCTATTAGCTAGTGTCGCTGAGTCTCACAGTGCGTTCACACTTAGACGGTTGTCGCTTGATTTGCTCGAATTGAATTATTATGAGGGCCGCATACATAAGCCCACAGTTCACACGAGTCCGCGACATCGACTAATCGCGACGTATGAACACGTTCTAAGCATGTCGATCAAATATCGATTGTTCAAGGTGCATCAGGAGAAATCAACGACGATGACGATGATATTGATAACCCAGAGTCCAAACAGAGGAAATCAGGGGTATGTATATTTTTGATTCAGTTTTTTCAAGCTATTTGGGAGCTAGCAAATAAGTACTCGAATATATCATGATCATTCCACAGTTACGTTCAAAAGTGCTATTTGCGACACTGTGCCATCTAGACTTACGCTTTGATTTATTTATAGGTCCTCTATTTTTCTCGTATCCCTCCGAAATTCACACCGTCAAGACTACAAGAGTATTTCGAGAAACATGCGCCCGGCATGATTGGCAGGGTCCATTGCACGGTAGATTTTTCACTTCTCATTATTCTCAAAGATTCTTCCTTTATTCTTCAATGGTATTTGGAATTTTTAGCGTAACAAGAACGCAAAAACGATTGAAAATCGTTACTCCGAAGGATGGTTGGAAGTAAAACGGAAGAAAGTGGCTAAAGCTCTCGCTGCTCGTTTTGACAACGCTCCTGTGGGTGGAAAAAAGAGAGACTACACGTCAAGTGTCTTATGGAATATCAAATATCTCAGTTCGTGAGTATTCAAGAAATATTCCGCTTTATCACAGAAGTGCTAAGTAAGGGCAAAAGTCAGGTCCTAAACGGAACTCGAATCCGCTAACCGAGTCACTGCGCTATCCTCTACGCCACGGGGGCACTCTTACTGTAATGGATAGCGTAATGGATAGTGCAGTGGCACGGACAACGGGGTTCGCGTCCAAGCCCTGCCTGTGGTATGCCTTTTGCCCAACTCAGCATTCGTCTTCTGCACACAGCATTCTGGTGTGTCAAAGCGTCGCTAAACAGTAATTATGTAGAACAATAAATTCGATAGATGCAGAGACGTTGGCTGAGGTGCTTCTCAGACAATTCTTTATTCCTGATTTGGTATCGTTGTTGCTGTTGTTGCAAATGCAACAGCCACGAGATCATACCTTTGAATGGCCCAGCGGTTACTTTCTGTGCCAAACTATGCTTAGCGGTCACTTATTGGGCCATACTAGGAACTGAATTGTATTTTGAAAGGAGAAATAACTAGGATCGAGGGAATTGGGAATCACGGTTGCTAGTTTGGTCTTCTCTGGTTTGGAGTACTTCTGTGCACTGCGTTCTTTTTTTTCGGTTAACAGTCTTCTCTTGCAGGATCATTTCGAGCGTCCCGCTCAAGCTTTATAGGCTTTTTCTTTCAAGGGTCTGTCCTCACTACCAAATTCCTTTTGCGTACGTCCACAACGCACGAATGCGCGTGAGGGGGCAGGCCCTCGAGTGCGTCTGAACTCCTTTGAACGCCACGACTCGTAAGACTATCTTCTGTCGCGAGTTCGGTCCTTAGTGTCTTCGTCCTGCGCCTTTTCCACTAAGGTGATATTTTGTATGGATGACTGCATTTAGTGCGTTGTAACGCTTCGGAGGAGACCGAGCAAATTGGCAACTCGTTAGGAGATGGTTTCTTCTAACAGGGAAGTCGTCACTTCATGCGAACTCGAATGAAGACCTGGGTAGATCGATAAAGTCTCCAAGGTTATTTACAAATATAGATTGCAAAACTGTCATTACAATCTTTACCTGCTCATAAGCAGCTGTAATATGCAGGTTTCAGTTTTGCTATCTATATTTGTAAATAACCTTATAGACGTCAAAAAAGTTCCTTGCCACTTTACTGGCATCTAGCTTCCCTCAGATCTTAATCTCTGATGTTATCGTAATAACAGATAGGGTGGGTCCTGTTTTCGCATCACCACCGACCGTAGCACGTGTGCATCTACTCCGCCGTTGCGGCGAGGACATGGCAAATGACCTTTTGGGCAATTTGGTCGTATGGATGGGAGTGCTGTGAGAGCAGGCTGCTCAGTGATCAGCTAAATTTGTTACAGACCATTGATCAATCTATAGTAAACAACAACGTTTCCAGAGAGATTCAGAACTGCGCGGTCACTGAGTCAATATTGTTCATCAATCACCGACTTTTTTTAGTTTCAAATGGGTCCATTTGATGGAACAACTACAGTACGAACGCACGATATCAATGCATCGTATGAGCGCCGAGATAGCACAAGCAAGACGAGTTGCGGCGCATTTTGAAGAACAGGTTGACAAAGGGCGGCATCTGAAGAGACTGGAAGAGAAGGTAAATTAATCGCAGGCGCCGTCTGCTTGAGCCGGTTTCTCAATATGGTATGGCATAGAGTATTGTTTGTTGCGGGTGCTGGGAGCGTGACAGGTGGGTTCGGTTTTTCGCGGCGGCAGCCCATCTCCGACCAATTGTGGTCGGTCACCCTCTTTAACAATTGGGCAACAGGCTGTTGCCGCGCCAAACTCTGCTCCCTACCTGCATACGGCGAACAAGACTGTATGTCGAATGAGGTCCATTGTCTCTGGTGTTTCGAACTCGGAAAAATTCAGAGCTCTAGGATACGAGGAGCTTCGTGCGCTATCCAGCTTTGAAAGGCATTTTATGTGCGGCATTCTGGACATTTCAAACCACTACCCTTTATTGTCCGAATCAGGGAAAGTTAACGGGACTGCCCACGAGTGAAAAAATAGAAGGCTAATTCAGTCGAGACTCGGCGAATGAAACGAGCTTTTTTCGATGTTTTCACCCTATTCTCCTTTGTGTGATAATCCATTCCATCAGAGTTATTGGTCAGGCAAATGATGGCAGTCCTTTAGGCTCTGAAAGCCGGTGGTCTTTGGAACAAGTTCCAGCGTGATATTGAACAGCGGCACGTCGTGAAATCGAAGAAAAAAAAAAGCTGAAGTCTTCACAACCGCACTTCTGCTGCCAAAGACGACGAGGTGTTAAAAATGATATTTGCTGAATAGCAAAATCAGAATAATCGCATTCTCAAATCATTAATCGAAGATCATTTTGTTATTGTTGTGCTTGTTGAGTTGAATGATATAAAGCAGAAATAAGAAAGGATGGAGCATATTTCTAGCGATGTGCCACACATTCCTACTCGTAGGCTTTGAATGCAATTCAGCTTAAAGGAAACGTTTATGGCTGATCAGCTTTAACCTCTCAGACTGGTCAGAGTGTCCGAAACTTACC